AAAACAAGTTTATATATCCAGTGACTAAACATGGTTATTTAAACAAAAACAAGTTTATATATCCAGTGACTAAACATGGTTATTTAAACAAAAACAAGTTTATATATCCAGTGACTAAACATGATTATTTAAACAAAAACAAGTTTATATATCCAGTGACTAAACATGATTATTTAAACAAAAACAAGTTTATATATCCAGTGACTAAACATGGTTGTTTAAACAAAAACAAGTTTATATATCCAGAAAAATAAGTTTAAGAACTTATTTGTAAATAGTAATAATGTATATAATGTGTTATAACTAAAATGTGACTGTATTTTACAAAATACTAGTCCACTAAAGCACAGTCAAGACAAGTCACTTTGAAAAGACTAAAGGTCAGTTGTATATTATTGTATACAGTAACATGAGTGCACATGCACCACATCAGTGCAACTTCTATATTGTTAACCAGACATGATTGGAGGGTCAATATATTAAAAATTATAAATATATATAAATGAGATTTACGCTATTTAGACTAAACATTTGCGTTATAATTTGTAGTCATTCTAGAATGATAAAAGCATAACTTATATTTAATTCCTAATTTTTTTATGGTGGTTACCAGGTCAGACAAATTGATAGACCCCATATTAGTTAAGGTAAAGAAAATAACAGACAGAATAAAGTTTTACTGAAACAAACATTTGAAATGAATTTAGGAGGATGTAAATATTACACAAATAATATTTGAAATGTTTGGGATGAAGAATAGTTTTAATCATAACATAAAAATCACTTCACACTCAGATTAGTAATGAAACAGGCTCAATAGTTTCACAAACAAATCTTTAGTAAAAGTACTTCATTAAAAAATCAAATTTTTTTGTGTACAAAACCTTTTTTGTAACCTTTACTAAAAGCCTACCAGATTTTGTGAAGATATAAATACTGCATCAGAGGTTATAGTATAAAATCTTAACATGTGCAAATGTGTATATGAACTCATATTTTATACCAAGCCTGTCATGAAAGGGTTAAAATTAAACCATAAGAAATAGAGGTTTTTCTTTCAACACGTTTGAACAAAAATTGTTTGGGTGTGTTTGTGGCAAGCAAAGCCCACTCCAATCTTCTCATTCATTCATTGAGCATATCTCTTTTGGTACTTCTATTAGAAGGGGGCATAAGTGCTCATTGTTTGTTAAAGGGGTGTTGCAGCAAAAAAGGTTGGGAAACACTGTTCTAGCCCTTTTGTGGATACTGTTTTTACGCAGCAATATAGGTCATAAGTGAGTTGGTTACAAAAACTCATCATTTAAACACTTGCAATGTCTAATTTATTCATTAGTCTCAGAAATATTGGAAGAAAACTAAGTATAATCAAGATTACAAAATCAACCTCAGAAATATTACAAGAAAATGATGAGAACAATGTACATTACAAAATCATCAACCTCAGAAATATTATGAGAAAATGATGAGAACAGTGAGCATTTCAAAATCATCAACCTTAGAAATATTACAAGAAAATGATGAGAACAGTGAGCATTTCAAATTCAACAACCTTAGAAATATTACAAGAAAATGATGAGAACAGTGAGCATTTCAAAATCATTAACCTCAGAAATATTACAAGAAAATGATGAGAACAATGTACATTACAAAATCAACAACCTTAGAAATATTACAAGAAAATGATGAGAACAGTGAACATTACAAAATCATCAACCTCAGAAATATTACAAGAAAATGATGAGAACAGTGAGCATTACAAAATCATCAACCTCAGAAATATTACAAGAAAATGATGAGAACAGTGAACATTACAAAATCATCAACCTCAGAAATATTACAAGAAAATGATGAGAACAGTGAGCATTTCAAAATCAACAACGTAATCAAACTGTAGCATTTCACAACCACATACCTACTGAATAAAAAATTTTGCACTAAATGATTCAGTGACAACATTTCTGAGACTGGTCATGAGTTCTCAAGTTGGTTTTAGTTTTTGTGATTCCTGTCAGTGCCTTATTTCTTATAATTAAGGAACACAGTATGATTGGAATACTACTATTACATACACTTCTAATTCTTGAAAATCCCTAAGGGAACAAATATGGAATGCAGTGTTAAAAACTATAATAGGCCTAATAATAATGTCTAGTGACAAGTAAATTCTTGAATATCTTAGTTTCAATCTTTGAAGCTTGAAAGTCTTACTTTTATGTTCCTAAACATCTCCTATTTTCAATATTTGAAGGATAGTCCTATTTGTACTTTCATGAATATATCTTAGTTTCAGTCTTTGAAATGTAGTCCTTTTACCTTTCCAAATTCTATGTTTCAAGTTATTCACTGGGTTTGGATTTTTATTAACCATTTTGTAATTATTTGTTTTCAACATAAGCAACATGTGTACACTAATTGTTTTGTGCAATTTAACTTTTCTAGTGTTTGATGATGGAACTAATCATCTAGTCTCTTCTGTGCAGAGTAGAATCATCTAAAACCTGCATAAACTTTCAGCACTGTCTCGGTGACTGTGAGCCTAGATGTCGATGCACATGTTGATCAGCTGCCAGTCAAACGCCACAAGTCTAAAAAAAATCATTACAGAATTGTCAGTTATGACTTCCTTTATGTATACTGATATTTATTGTAAATTCAGATACTTTATGAATCTATTCTGTGATATATGTTGTAAATATTACTGTATGGGTGAAGTAAATCTTACCATATGAGTGAAAATCACACCTTCTTTTATTAAAAAATTTACTTAAGAGCTTCCAGTTTCCAGAACACTTTTCTTTAGGCCCATGTCAATCTGGTACCATGGATTTTACAAGTCCTGCATATAACCATCATGTTTATAGTATGTGTACACTTAATATAACTATCATGTTTATAGTATGTGTACACTTGATATAATCTCATGTTTCTAAATCTTTATTTTCAGTTTTCCATCTTCAACAGTATTAGAGGGGAAGCAGTTAAGTTGACATCGGCCAACTTTGACAGCCAAGTTTGTGAGTTAAAAATAATTTAGTGAACAAGAGTAGTGTGTAAAGGTGGTAGAGTAAGAAATCATTGATTTAGTACATCAACCCAAAATAGATGGTTTTCATTGGAACTAACCCTAATGCAGTTCTCAAGTATTGGTAATAATTCTTAGGCTTAGAAAAAAAGGCTTTGTTTCCAGTTGCCCAATCAACCCTACATAAAAATGTCCAACCAAGAAGTTTTTTCAATGCTTCCCCCCACTCCAAAATCATCTCCAAACCAACCTTAATGAAGAATGACACTTGATTAATTGATTTTCATGATTGCACCAATCTGCTACCATATTGTGTAAAATGAAGGTCATGAGAAACCATGACTCTGATTCATTAGTTGGTGTGGTGTGTCAATGCTTTCAGCCAATTACAGCTGAGCTTTTATTCAGGCAATGTCAAACATTTCATCATGGTGACTAGAATATTGGCTGTTATCTTTAACAAATACCCACGTCTTCCCTAAACAAGACAGTGTCACAGTTTATTGGAACAGTCAAAGATGTGTTTGAGTCATACCATCCTAAACTAGGTTTAAATGATTATGAGCAGACATCAAGTGTTGATCTGGATGAAGTTTTGATGGACATTGGATAAACCAATTAGTAGACATGTTAAATGTCAAATCAATTGGATTTCACTATAAGCCTAAACCATAATGCCCTGCAGAAGTTGAAAGTACCAGTAGAGCAAAGGATATTGTGATAAAAATCCTATCAGCCCAATACTCTGCCTACCTTCCCTATTTTCAAGGAGATAAAAAAAATGTAATAGGAAACAAGGCATTTTTTTCTGGACCTTATCTATAAAACTAGTCATAGCTTAAGTGTGCATTAAGTTCTAAGCTAAATATTAAAATATAAAAATAATGATAAATTGTTTCAAGTATCTACAAATAATTTATAACTTTACATTTTGGGTTACTAACACTACTTGTGTGATAAACTGAGAACTTGGTTAGAGAAAATGCAAAAAGCTTATGTCTTTTTTGATTCTCTTGTCTAGGTTTTGAAAGCTATGTTAGTATGGTAGTTTTACTAAAAACAGTTAAAATTTTTAGATCATGTGGAAACCTAGTTTATATGTGTGATAATGTGTACTTGTTATAAAAGTTATAGTAATCGTTTCTTGTACAAGTTAGTACAAACTTTTCTTGCTTTGTGTCTTGGCTCATCTTGGAACTATACACAAATTATTATTATTATAGGTTCAATATTGAAATAAGTTGTTTTTCAGTCAAACCTAATATACACTAACAAGAGAATCAAGAAAAGGAAGATAATCTACGAAACTTTGTTTTTTTTAAATATCTTTACCCAAACCTGCTGGTTGGTGTAAACAAAATGTTTAACAATAATAAAAATTTCTGTGTCAGTGTCTTCCTTTTTTCTTGGTTTTGAGACAACATTGTGGGCACCGTGCTAAATGGTTGCCCACAATATCATCTCGCGACTCAGAAAACGGCAGAGGTTCACTTTTTTTAATGAATAAGGAAACAAAAATGACTGTATAGTAAATGTTCATTACAGTCACTGAAGTTAATAAATAAATAAATAAATACAGTTTTTTTTTGTTTTTTGTAGTAAACCATGAGCTAGTATTTCTCAATTTTTATGCTGACTGGTGCAAGTTCAGCCAGATATTAGCACCAGTTTTCAATGAGGCAGCAGATCATGTAACAAAAGAAGTCCAAGTAAGTTTATTGAATTTTTCCCTCATGTTGTATATGATACAAACACTTTAAATTCCCTATCTGTTTTTAGTTTACTAGGAATGACTTGTGGTTCCGTAAAGATGCAAAATTACCTTAAGCATTTTGGAAAACTCGTTTCATAATATAATTAGTTTTGGAATTTACATATTTTTTAGCATTACATTTTCAGCTAATAATGCTTTATTTTTTTTAGGAACCTGGTAAAGTACTATTTGGAATGGTGGACTGTGATACTGAAAGTAAGTAATAATTGACATTAGATAATAAAATACAAATTTGGTTCACATTTTTAATCAAGACTATGGTAAACTTGTTTTAAATGTTTAAAACAAAATTGTGATTTTTTGTTCTTTAAAACTACCAGCATTTTATTTAATATTGTCAAAATACTACACTAAAATTAATCAACATATTGTGGATGAGAATATATATTGCACGAAATTAAATGAGTTTTTTTACATAATAACGTGTCAACAAATCTTTTTGGGTCTACGTGTCTCCTAATTCTGTATTTGACATATTGTCTTGTTCAGGTATCCCTAGATTTACAAAAGGAGAAATGTTCTTGGAGAACGTAACATCAATCAAAAATGCTTTTCCCATTATTTTAAAGGTAAATAATAGGGGATGCGTTCCTGACCCAAAATTTTTGGCCACACTAACATAATGTTTTCTTCCACTATAACATAAGAAAAATATTGTTACAATTAACACGAAAAAAAAATTTTGTTTATAAAACATAAAATCTTGTGTGCTGTACTTGCCAAGAAGTAGTAGTTGTTGCGATGCTTGTCAAGATGACAGGAGGAAAGAGAGACTACAGTGGTTAGTGGTGATCTTAGGAGGGCAAACTTTTCTTATGACTTTGCAATTTTTGCTCTATCAGAATATGCGAACGCAAATCGAAAAATGTAAGCTGAATGTGTATAAATTGAGGGATACCTGTGTAAGTTAACTTAATGTTGATGCTGTTTTTTTCTGTAAAGTTAACATGACTTTAATGTTGTTCTTTAATTAAACCTAACGTAACATAAGTTGACTCAAATGTTGTTGTTTTTAATATATCTTAAGCTAACTTAACATAACTTGAATGTTGTTTTTTCCATAAAGCTAACATAGCAGCAAGGTTTCACATTACAAAGTACCCAACTCTAAAGTTGCTACGAAACGGAAAGGTGATGAAGAGGGAATACAGAGGTCAGCGGTCAGCAGATGCTATTGCAGAATACATTCGTGACCTCTTAAAAGATCCTATAATTGAAATAAAAGAACAAAAAGATTTTGATAATATTCATGTAAGTTTTTAATTTTTTTGTTGAAATAATCTGCCCAATTTGAAAGTAAAAGATGTGCATGCTATTCTTCAGTTTGCAAATGCACAATGATTATTTGTAAACTGAACGTAATGAACTTGCATTGTTACACACGAGCATATGTTTTAAACTTGAACTTAAAGCATTGAAATAAGTGTAAAACAGGGTTCTTCCGGTGGGACCTTCATAAAACACAGTAATAGTTTCAAACTTGCTTTTTGGATTTTGGTTCATAGAGAGCTTGTATGTATTTATGTGTGTGTGTGTGTGTGTGTGTGTGTGTATATATATTCTTTTTGCATTAGAGGTTTAGCATTATTTTCAAAATTCACAAAATTATATTCATTTGACAAGTATAAAATTTTATAATGTTTATTCTACAGAATAATTGTGAAGTTTGGAAGGTGAGAGTAACAGTTAATTTTTTAACAGGAGAACAAGAGAACAGTGTTAGGATATCTTTCTAGCAAAGCTCTTCCTCACTATGAAGTGTTTAGAAAAGTTGCCATGGATCTTCGGGATGATTGTGAGTTCTTCGTCATAACTGGGTGAGTAATAACTGATGAAGTGATCATTACTAGACCAGGACATGAAAATAAAATGAGCTATTACTAGATCAAAACATGAAAGTAATGTATGTTATATAGCAAACTAACCAGAGCTACTTCATAACATAAATTTACTTTTTTTATAATATTTATAATACTTTTGAATATTTCTAAGTACCAGCCACAGATAAATTTTTTGAAGTGATAGTTAAAAATATTCAAAAACTACAATAAATGATATAACCAATAATAACAAAGAAAGGAACCATAAACAGAAAAGCCTGGCATGGTGGTTTGCCTTGCAATCTGCAGGTCATGGATTTGAATCTTTTCACCAGACCTGCCCTTTGAACCCTCTCTTTTTCTCAACTGTTTCAAGTTAACACTTGATTTTAACAAACACTGAACAGTATAGTCTAACTATACTAATTTTAATATTTGTATCCAAATGTGTTTTTTAATCATATTATGATTGACAGAGATCTTGCGAAGTCAGGACCCAACAATGAGGGGAGCATTGTCTTCAAACCTGCTAGGTCAAAGGTCAGTAGTTTGTTGCTGTTTCACAATAGTGTATTTTATTTATAGTGTGTATATTTACATATATATTACAATGTTTGAATTTGAAGAAATAATACTTTGAAAATAAATTAATTGCATTAAAATATCTTGTAAAGAATTGTTTACCTAAATGTAGTTTTTCTTTTAGCTTTGGGATTGCTAAAAGTAACATAAGGCACCTAAAAATAGGCAGCATGGCAGGTTAACTAAAGTTAGTATAGAACTGTGTATGTCTTAAGATCTTGTTTTCCAAACTTTATTTAGTGGTACCTCCCCCTAACTCTTCACATTAAAATAATTTTGCAAGTGATGACATAAAATCAACATTTTCTTTTGAATAATTTTTTTTAATGAAAAAAATGCTTTTAAGGAGTGAGTATATGTGAGAGCAAAAAAAAATCTTTGAGAAAAAGGTGACAGTTTGTTAGGTTATTGTTCAAGGCTAGTCCATCATACTATTGTGTCCATAAACAAGACATTTTATTTCAGTCTACTCAGCTGTATTGATGGATACTAGCTGTTAGCTGAGGATTAACTTGCAGTGGACTGGCATCCTGTTCCAAAGGAATAAGCCACCATTTTCATCTGCTTGTGGCACATGTAATCAGAATTCAGATGCACTGGTCGTATGTGCCTTCCAAAGGCACAGCAAAGATTTTGATAACTTTAGGTTATTAAACATTAGGAAGCGATTTGTCTAACATTTTACCTCACTCACAGAATAAATATTTAAGTTTTTTTTATGTTACTGTGAAATGGATTAATAAATAGATATGGTACCATTTCTAGTTTTCATTAAAAATTATAATTCCAGTAAATAAAATTTCATTTATGAAGTAAATATGGTACTAGACCAAACTTGTTTTATAAAATGTTAGTGCAGTTGTTAAAAATGTGAAATTTATGAACTAAATAGCTTAAAAAAACTGAGTTAATAGGCGCATACTAGATATTAAATTAAAATGCAATTTTTAAAAAAATATTAAATTTTGGGACTAATATTGAGTAAAGAGATAAAATATACTAGGCTCAATTTTATTAAAAACAAAATTGTAATGCTTTGTTTTAAAGTAGTTGAAAATTGTGTAGTGAATATATACAAGATGTATTATTTGACCCATTTATGATAGAATAATGCATCCCATTGTTTTTACATTTAATGCAATATTTGGAAATTGTATTACAAATTTAATTTTGTGACTAATGCCAATTTAATCCAGCTCACTTCAGAATGTATTTTTTGCTCTCTCTTTCTTTCAGCTTAGTGAAAATGATGAAATATATCCAGGGTCATTATTGAGTTATGAAGAACTCAGTGTTTGGACGACAAATCGTTGCATTCCTCTGGTCAGGGAAATCACTTTTGAAAATGCTGAGGTATGTAACAATAATTGTAATTTTTTTTCTCATCACCAAAATCGACTCGCAATCTGCGGGTCGCAGGTTCGAATCCCCATCCCACCAAACATGCTCGCCCTTTCAGCCGTGGGGACGTTATAATGTGACGGTCAATCCCACTATTCGTTGGTAAAAGAGTAGCCCAAGAGTTGGCGGTGGGTGGTGATGACTATCTGCCTTCCCTCTAGTCTTACACTGCTAAATTAGGGACGGCTAGTGCAGATAGCCCTCGTGTAGCTTTGCGCGAAATTCAAACCAAACCCAAACCCATCAACAAAATTTTTTATTATGGATTAATAAATACACATTAAATAACTAGCTTGTTCTTGGATTTGACAGATGTCACTAAGTTGTACCAGTTTACTAACCAAGCAGTAAGGTTTATTGTCACACACTGGTTATCTGGAGTTTTTTGTGTGTAGTGTTTATAATGTGTTATAGTGTTTATTCATTACATATAACCATTTTTAGTATAGTTATTTATTATTGGGTTACATTAATGTTATAAATAATGTTTGAAATATTGTGCATTTTGTCATATCACTGTATACAGTGGTACCTTCCCTAACTCTGCAAAGTTTCTGTTGCCCCCCCCCCCTTCACATTAAAATAATTTTTGAAAGTGATGACATAAAATCAACAATTTCTTTTGAATAGTTTTTTTAATGAAAAAAATGCTTGTAAGAAGTGAGTAAATGTGAGAGCAAAAAAAATCTTTGAGAAAAAGGTGACAGTTTGTTAGGTTATTGTCATCTCCAACTCTTGTGTTTCTTCTGTCGCACCCCACAGTTTAGAAACACTGTTTTAACTCCTTCCTTATGGTGACCCTTTTCTGTAAATGTCACAAGATTTTACTTAGTTACATTTAAAATTTAATTAAGCTATTTTATGATCAATGTTTGTCAATGATGTCAGCATTACAATTTACATTATAGTTCAAAGTTTTATATTAACTAAATTTTAGTTCCTTTATTTCAAAAGAAACCTTATATAAAAATTCTTTAAGTTTTGTTTTATGTTCTTGTGATCTGCAAATTCACAAAATCTTAAATTTGTGTCTTTGTAGTTTGAACAGTTCTTGACTCATGCTAACCTTCCATATATAGAAAGAATCTAGGTTATTTACTCTGTTTACATGTTCTTTCTTACAAGTTCCAAATGGCACGTTCAGAGAAATAAATTTCTCTGAACTCTTGACTGATGCCACGTCCACTTTCTACCACTGAATTGTGATTTCCCAGCCAATAATACTTAGCTCAGCTAGATGTTCATAACCAATGGAAAGAGCACTTTTTAAATTATGTTATCTTAACTGTTATTTTAAAATTGGCACAAATAATTATATAGAGAACTAATCAAACCCTTTATGTCCTTTGTCAAACTGTCATCAGTAATACTGACCAAGGTCAAGTCTGTTCATGATAAAGCCATCATCAGTAACACTGGATAATGTCCAGTCTGTTATTGGTCAAACCATCATCAGTGACACCCAATTTTTCAAATTGACTTTCTACAGACAACACATTTTCATAAGTTTATTTTTCTGCAAAATAAAAACAATAAAATTTTTCTAACTTTCCTTAAACAACACGTTATTTCCAGGTATTGTGCCATCTGCAGGACACCATTCTAAAATATTACAGTTTAACTCTTCTGCAGAGAATAATTACATTCACTTACGATGAAAGCATTTGGTTATTTGCAGAAAAGTTTGAAATGAACAAGAGAACACTCCCAGGTCATAACATAAGTACAAGAGGCCTATTAATTCCTGCATGTTAAGCAATAATTTTTATTTTTTTGAACATGGAATCTCATTAGTTGGCAATGGCATCAAGTGTTGCCAAAAATACATTTAATTCTAGTATGTGGAGCATCATTTGTTACCAATTATGTTACACAAATTGGATAGCATTAATTGAAATCAATACTTTGAGAAAAGGTTACTTAAAAAAGATATGGTAAAGTGAAATAATCACTACAAAAAAATGTTTCAACTTCTGTGTTGGGAAAACAAAAACATGAAATTTATACAATAATAATGAAAAGCCCCACCAGGGCTTATTAACATAACAATAGTGTGAAAACACAAATATCTGTTAATATTTTAGTACAGTGTTATTATAATCATTACAATATTGATGTTTATACCTAAAATAATTTCTGTGATGTGAACAGATTCAAATAATTCATGCAAATAACTGGGGAAAATGCTGTTGACTGATAAATCTTGGTTGTGTTCTCTGGAAATGTTTGGAAAAAAAATGCATAAAATGTTTAGGGTCAGGTCCTTTTTTCTTTTTTCTTGGGTCAGTCAAGTTACCAAAGTTTTTTGTTTGTTTTCTCTAGGACAGAAGGCTGTATTTCAGTCACAGCTTATTTATATGTAATCAGTCATGGAGTAGGTGTTTTTATAATATTCTATATGATATAAAATATGTTGAAGAAAATTTACATGTCATGTTTTTTTTTTTTACTGTAACTCCTTCCATGTCAGGCATTTATTTTTGGAAATGGGCTCTAAAAGGTCAGGGTTTTCTATTTTTTGTTTTTGATAGCCTGTACTTATATTAGTAAAACATGTTTTTTTTTATGATCTGTTATTATATTTCTGCACAAAATTTACTTGATAAGTAAATGTTATGTGTCTGGATCTATACATGATAAATGTTTCAGTAGAACTGCAGTAAAGAAGAGGAATGCTTTTTTCCAGTGCTTAAGTTACATAATTGAGAATAAATCTGATAGAGGTCGGCACAAACAGCATTTCCAATGTCATCTCTGACAAATTACAGAATGATTTAATAAAATGATTGATGAATACAGGATTTATTGCTATAATTTATTGATTTTGTTTATTGAAAATCAGGTAATAAATTTGTGATTTATCACATGGTTGAAAGGCTAGTATGACTAAGTGTATAAGGAGTGCTGCTTCACAAGTGCTTATTCAGTGGTAAGGGTTGCTGGTTCAAGATGTGCCAGTGGCTGTCACAACTTTTAAAATACTTAAATTCAGAAACGTAAGATGTGTGGTGTTACAATTATATACCAGGCATGATATAGAATAAGTTATTTAACACAAAAGAATAAAGTTATGCAAATTATAAATCAGTAACATATCACAATGTTAAAAAATAGTAAATTTACCCTTCATTAGGCATAAAAGTAGCCCAAGAGTTTGTGGCTAGTCACCTTTCATCTGGTCAGCAGGTCAAAGTTAAGGGTGGTGGCAGATGGCTTTAGTAACTTTGCCATAACTCAAAAACGAAGAAACAAATGTAATTCCTCCATGGCTGAATGTTCGAGCTTGTTTGATGGCAATGGTAGTCAAACCCAAAATAAAGGGTACCCTCTCCCTGATCACTGGGCCATGTTACCCCAAAGCTGAACAAACTTAAATTATGGTAATATTTCACATGCTTGGATATTTGGAGTAATCAGAAACACTAATTTGTATTAGTTAATTATTTTTGTGAGTCGTGACAAGAATTGGTTAAGCTGGAAAAAGGTTAAAATATAATTAGAAATTGTAATAGCAATGTTTCGATTACTTGGATAGTTGGCATAATCAGAAAGACTAATTTTAATCACTTAGTTATTTTTGATGCTCCTAGGTAATGAAGTTAATTGCCTAGCTCTAGATTACAATATTGAAGTCTCTGAGCAGTAATTAGTGCATAAATAATATCAGTTAACCCAACCACTCTGATATGGTATAACAATCATCTGTAAATGTCTGAAAATTCTCTTTATGGTAGGAACTTACAGAAGAAGGGTTGCCATTTCTTATACTATTCCATAATCCTGATGATAAAGAAAGTGTAAAAATATTCACAAGGGAAGTTAGCACCCACTTGATGAGTGACAAAAGTAAGCCATTTATTTTTATAATAAACTAATCATCAGATGAGAATCTTTAATGATTTGGTTCTTCAATTAGCTTTGATCACCCAAAGCATTTGATTTTAAGCTATTCTTAACATATTTCTTCTTCAGAGATAGAATTTATTAAAATCATCATAAAGGTTTTTATTGTATTTAAAAAATTAACTGTTAAGAGTATATTTCTAAAATGAAAAATCAAGTTATTTAAGAGTGGAAAGTCTGTAAACTAAGTTGTAATTTCAACAGTTAAGAGTATAATATGAAAAATTAAGCTGTTTAAGAGAAGAAAGTCTGTAAATTAAGGATATATTTCATCTTTTTTTTGTTGTTGTAGGCAGTGTCAACTTCTTAACAGCAGATGGTCAGAAGTTTTCTCATCCACTGCATCACTTGGGCAAGAGTCAGAAAGATTTGCCTCTCATTGCAATTGATAGTTTTCGCCACATGTACCTGTTCCCTGACTTCAACGATCTATAGTGAGTTTATTTGAGAAGTCTTTCCTTACTCTCAGTTCGGAATGTCACTAAAATCATGTGTTATATTTATGTGGAAGTTGAGTTAAGCTCCATAAACTGTGTTAAAATCAAATGCTTACCCCTACTGTCACAGATCAAAGACCATGTCATCACATTTGTTGACACGCATTAAAAATTTTATTGAACTACTCTCTTATGAATGTATGTCAATAAGTTTGGTATCAAATTATAGATTATAATTCAAATATTAGTATTATACATTAGTTAATTTTTTAATTTAAAAGAAATATTTTAAAAAATCCTAAATATCAATTTTTGTTTGTTACGTGATATGTTGAATGCAGAATTGGTTCAAATTAGATGCTTGTGATGTCCAAACACAAAGTCTGTAGTTTCTTATGAATTAAGTACACAAGTTACTGATATTGACAAGCTAGAATGTAAAATAAGAACCTCCTATCTTTTCTATTTTCTGAGATACTAATATATTCATTGAATTAACCAATTCAACTTTTAAAAATACCTGCTGACATACACCTACTTTGCCCAATGATGTGTGTATATCAATCAAAAGCTCAGAATGTCCTCCTAGTGGTTTTCTCAGCCACTATGAAGTATTTAGGTGGCAAACTCTTTCTTTTCAAGCTAGATTCCAAGTGGTAAGGTAAGACATTAGTGAGCTAAAAATTTCATATTTCTTCAGACCCAAATACAGCTTAGTTACTAAGCTTGGTAAATTCTGTAATTCTGTGGTATTGATATAGTAATTCGTGATTTTTGGTTATTTCAAAATGTATATATAAAACCTCAAATTTTGTTTCACATCTTCCACATGCTAAATTTGATAAGGCTTAGCAACCTATGGCAAGCAGCAAGTGAGTACAAAGTTTGTAACTAGAAGAGATAATTGTTTGCTTTACTTCTTTATTTACTGTTATATGTTTTAAGAAAAATAAGAGTAAAAACTTATTTGTAAATAGCAATAATGTATATACATAAATAATGTATTATAACTGAAATGTGACTGTATTTTACAAAATACTAGTTCACTAAAACACGGCCAAGACAGGTCACTATGTAAAGGCCAGTTTTATATTTTTAGATACGGTAACATGAGTGCACATGCGCCTCATCATTACATCTTCTGTAATGTTAACCAGGCATGGCTAAAAAATCAATATAATAAAAATTATAAATATATATAAATGTATAACATTAT